AACCAGTCTTGTGATCAGTTGACACAATGTGGGGGCAAGATAAGACTTGGGACAAAGCAATCAACTCTTCAATCAGCCAAGGGGATCAAATGGAGTGGCTAGAGTAGACATTCATTTTGAGACAGGTTTTGTTTAAAAAGGTTTAAAAAAAAAAAAAAAAAAAAAAAAATGCAATCATTATTTGAACTAGTAAACAAAACAAGCTTTATACACACACCTTTTCATTTGAATTCATTTTTTTTTTTTTTTTTTGAAGAGTGAAACATTTTAGAGGAAGAGTGTTGTGAGGCAAAATTTGTCCGATGGCCAAGTCCAAACTTGTCAGGAAATAAAGATATAAAAACACACCTACATCAAGAGGAGTAGCAGTAGCTTTTGCTGAAAAGAGTCATTCATGACTAAACATTCTCTTCCCTAGTTTCTATTCTAAATTATGTTTCCCTGTACCAAAAGGATAATAACAGTAGAAAATCAAAATTGGTTTAACAAAGTGAGAACATTGACAAATATAAGCAGCACCATGAAGTATTTTGACATTCGTCACATTTTGGATTTAGACTGAATCTAGATAAGTGTGTTTTTGAATCAGATCATTAATTTTCTTGAGCATCACACTGATGCAAATGGTATCACTCCTTTATTGGAAAAAAGACTATCACTGACTTCCCAGGGCCTGCATCTATCAAGCAATTAAGACGTTTTATAGGGATGATAAATTTCTATAGGCATTTCATTCCCAACTGTTCCACCATTTTGACTTAACTAACCTATAGCAACAGAAGAATAAGAGCATTTCCCTGCTGCATGGAATGCCACCAGGGGTTTGCCTTCCAAAGACTGCTTTAGCAAACTTTATAAAACTATTATTTATCAGGAATGATCTTCAAGAAACAATATACTTGACTACTGAGGTGTCAGAATCTGTAGTTGGGGCTGTAATCAAACAAGATTCACATTCTTGGCAGAACCACATCGCATTCTTTTCAGCTAAACTCTCCTGCTCAGTCACAATACAGTACCTTCTCTAGTGAATTATTAGCCATTTTCTTGGCCATCAGACGTTTTTGACATTTGCTAGAAGGTCGGTCTTTTACTATCTTCACAGGCCATAAACTCGATTAGTCATGAATAATAATACTGACAAATATACTTCTAGTGAGATTAGATATTTAGATTACATATCGCAATTTACAACTGACATTCAGTATGTAAAAGGGAAGAACAACACTGTTGCTGATACTCTTTTACAAACTCATCTGTATGTCCTGGATACCGATGTTCTTAGGATCAGATTTCTGTTTATCAGATCTTGACTATCTTGAACAATATGTTGGCTGATACTTCACTCAACCTTCAAGAATTTCCAGCTCCTTTCAGTAACAGGACCTTATTTTGTGATGTTAAGTTAAGTTTGCTTAAACCCCATGTTCCTCCTTCTCTAAGACTGGCATTTGAACACCTGCATGGATTATCTCATCCAGTAAACAAGCCATAGTCAAGTTGGTTGCAGAACGTTTTGCGTGGCCTAATATGAACTCGGATGTCTGCTAAATGGGTCTCACACTTCTAGCATTCTGAACAAGTTAAGGTGCACTGACATACCAAGTCGCCCATTGGTACCCTCAGCAACCCTGATGCTTGCTTTACACATATCCATCTCGACAGTCCACAATGGATAAAAGATAAGGATAACCCTGACACACTGGTAGTGGCCCAACTGTTTTTCATGCTGGCCCACAGATATACCCATCAAGAACACCTCAGCCGTTACTGTTTCAAAGGCAGTCCTCAGAGAATGGATTTCAATATTAAGTACTCCGAATGTGGTTACAACAAACTGGGATTCCCAGTTTCAGTCATCTCTCTTTAGAGAGAGTTCACCAATCTTCTTGGAACAAAACATGTGCATACGACAGCTTATCGTCCATGCACTAATGCCTTGGTGAAACAATTCCATCAGATGCTGAAAGCTTCACTTTCTACGAAGAACGACACAAATAATTGGGTCGATGACATTCCCTTCATCCTTGAGAAATACACTCAAAGATTTGAGCTGCTCTGCTGCAGAACTTTTATTCAGTACTACTCTTTCCCTGCCTGGGCAATACTTTTCTCCAAATACTGATTTGACTCCAACATCTTTTATCCAGGATTTGCATCTTCAGATGGTTAAGTTGACTTGCACTCCTCCATGACAATGTCCAGATGATATTTACCTTCCTCAACAACTTCAGTCCAAGCTTGAACTATCGATCCCCCCCGCACAGATTGGATTTTTATATTCCCCCCTCGCATATTAAGCAAGAGGAGGTATATTCTGAGTTTGGGGTTTTGTTTGCGCAGCTAGCTAAATTCCAACCTGAATCTGCTAGCAAGGTCAGTAACTTCAAGGCAAAGTTAAATAATATAGCACATTGTTACGCAAGTACTCTTGTTTCACATAATAAATCAAAGTGGAACAAGTAATTTCAGGTAATTAAAACACTTCATAATAATAAAGCTTTGGTAATTACGAAACCCAACAAAGGTACTGGCGCCGTTATTCTTGATTATCAGGATTATGTTAACAAGATGACAATTCTAAATTCGTCCAGTTAGGCCCAATAGATGAATTTGATTCTATATTATCTATTGAGGCCAAGTTCCAAAAATACCTGGTTAAGTGGGTAAAAACTGGAAAATTGCCCACTGACATTTCAAATTTAATTAGACCCACAGGCTCCATTCATCCTCGTCTCTATGGCTTATCCAAAACTCAAAGTTGGGACACCATTGAGACCTATTCTATCTATGATAGGGTCTTCCCAACACAGCATGGCTAAATGGCTTTCCACTATACTACAGCCTGTTTTGGAGCAATATAAACGCTTGTATTAAAGATTCATTTGAATTCTCCCATTTTATGCAGTGTTATTCGTCAATGGATAAATTTATGTGTTCATATGATACTGCCAGTTTACTTGCATTCCACTTGCTGAGACTTGATATATGTGCTGATGCCCTGTATCGTAGTCAATTGTCTCCCCCTGTTATTTTGGATTGGAGGATGTTTCTGTCGAACTGATGAAATTTGCCATGATGATAGTCGAGTTTAGTTTTGACGGCATCATGTACAGGCAGATTGCCAAAGGTAACCCATGGAAACACCATCAAATATCTTTGTTGGGTTCCAAGAAGAGAGTTTATTATTAAAATCTGATAAACCTGATGTTTATATATGCACCCAGCCATAAAATTTACACAGGAAAAGGAGGTTGATTCATCTCTTCCCTTTCTTGATGTACTGGTCAGCAGATCTGCGTCGGGTTTTATTACTTCTGTTTACCGTAAAGTGACGTTTACTGATTTGTATACCCATTGGGATTCTTTTTGTCCCAGGAAGCGCAAAATTAATTTAATTAAGACCCTTACCCATAGGGCTCTTATGATCTGTTCTGTCATCAAGTTGGATGATGAACTTGGGTAGGCATTGTTGCAGAAAGTAGATAAACCCATTAGGCATTGTTCAAGCAATTATTAAGAATAAAATTGCTGAATTCAACAAAGTCAAACCTGTTATAGTAAAAAGATGTCCTGTGTACCTATGCCTTCCTTGGCTAGGTAGTATCAGTGATAGGTTTGCTAAGCAGGTTTCTACCGCAGTTCGACATTGTTACTTTGCCACAAACACTTGTTTTGTTTCTCTGACAGTTACCTTCCTTGTTAAAAAGACTCATTCTGGGAGGAAGGTAACCTTTCCAAAAGATTTTGACTTACATTTATTTTTAATTAATACAATTATCTTGGAAAAGAGCCTTATTGCCCTTTACTACTCTGTCCTAGTGACCTAGGGCTACCATTAGGTCTTCATGACCTTGACCTTTTCTTCACTGCATTATCATACACCCTTAAGTTCATTTAGATTTATAATAAGCCTAATGACTTTTTAGTCATTTTAGTGTTACAAACCTAGTTGGGATACATTTTGTGGACATCTACACCTTTTATATTTCATAGCACATTTGTTTATTTTTATCCACTGTTACACTCTTTGGGTCCTGTCACTGGGTGTGAGTTCAATACCTGATTAAGGCAGTGGAGAACTTGCAGAGGGGAATTAACAGGAGATAACCGTTAACTGACATCCATTAAACATGGCATGTGAAACTAGAACAGTCTACCCCAGTGAGCGAAATAAAGGGTTTAGTTCAACATTCCAACCACCTGAAGAAGGCCGGAGCATACAAAGGCCGAAACGTAATAAATATGGCAACAAAGAATTAGGACAATAGTCTGAATAATGTAAATGGTGTACATAATACCTCATCTCAGAAATTTTCTTAAGATTTTTAGTACTTTGCAGGATGTTGGTGGTTTTCTTCCATCCTTTCAAAAAGGATGATTCACCCCTTTTTCTAATAGCTCAGATGTTTACTATTTTAAGTGTCAAGTGAAATACTGGCGATGTGTTGACTGGTTCAACACCTGGTTAGAATTAACCTGTATATTCCATCTTATATAAGAATGGCGGGGAATCACAATTTAATATAGCTGATTGTCAGCTCTAGAGTCCTGCTACTGGCCAGTTTTGCAGTCATTTTATACAGATTTGAACACCCCCACTGTATTACTTTTTCTTTTTGACTACTGTGGGAATCTTTGTTAGCAGTAAGTTAGCAATTTTTGTGTATTTTGCATTTTGTTACAGTTTTTGTCAAGAACTCTTGTAATTTCTGTTGCCTGTTCTGTTAGGGAACTCCTACATTACAGTGGAATCTTGTCTGCCTCAGGACATATCAAGAAGCTCATTGGCATGTGTGGGAGACAGCCCCTGACCCCAAAAGAGTGATTACTACTATGATGGCCTCAAGAAGTGGTACAAAGAATTCATTGAAAGCAATGAACTGTTGGCCATACCCTCAGTGATGGAGGCCACTGATACTAGGACTATCTCACTGTTGATGACTGATGTTAAGTCCAGGAAGTTTATTGGCGTCAGAAGAAAGGGAATGGAAAAGGGCCTAGAAAGCCTCAACATGGCTGTAAACATCTTGGCGAGGAGGAACAATGCTATGTGGGATTTCCTGATGGCACTGGAGGAGGTGGCAAAAGTGTTGGCAGGAAGTGTCCTCGCCACAAAGGCAGTGATATTGCAGACTAAGTATGTAGGCACTCTAAAAATTCAGATCACATTTCACAGGGTGGCCATGTACGTCTCAGAGGACCACTTGGGAGATTTCATGGGGAGATATGGCCACATTGCTGAGGTCTTGGTCAGTGAAGAGTAGAACAGGCATTGCAACCAGCAACTTTGAGCATGTTGTTAAAATCTTTCTGGGTCATTGTTGACAACACTACAATGTTCTGACCTGCATTGGAAGGTCCATCTTTGAGGTAGTGGAGTGCTGGCATCCCTGTTGGTCCTCTGGTTCTGTGGGATGTTTATCAAAGTTGTGCCCTCGTAGGAACCTGGCACCAGCAAAAACCACATCAGCAGGTGTCAGTTGCACCCAAACCAACAGTAGTGGAGGGAGTGGAAAAATCTACCAAGACCTCTAGTGGATGGACAGAGGTAGTGGAGAAAAAAAAAAAAAAAAAAAAAAAAGGAAAGCTGGTTGCCTCTCCTACTCAGTAGAATGTCTCTCCTAAAAAGAATGCAGCACCAAAGAAGTTGGCAAAACAGCAGCAGCGGAATTTGGAGGAGCAACAGTCAAAGCAGCAACTCCAGCAGTTGCAGGAACAGCAACAAACTGGTGCTTCCAGAACTGAACCTATTTATGGAGGTGGATGAAATTCTTCCATCTTGATCCTCCTCTTTAAAAAAAAGGAGGGAAGAGAAAAAATGACCAAGAAGGAGAAGAAAGCTGGAAGAAGTAGGGTGGAGAAAACCATGATTGATTCTCGGAATCTATCCACCCTGGCTTCACCAGGAAGAGAAAAAAAAAAAAAAAAAAAAAAAGAAAAAAAAGCCAGCTACCCGGTAAGGCAAGGAATTTCTCTTCTCCCTCTAGGGCTCCATCACCTTTTTCTCCCTTCCCAAAGAAGGTTAAGAAAAAAAACAATGTCCCTGGAGTAGAGAAAAATCTGTTGTGTGGACAGGCAGGCCCTTGAGAGGGATCTTTCCACACAGAGGAACAGCAGGTGGAAGAGCAGGTTCTTGTACTTCCAGAGTTGGATCTATTTGTGGTGGTGGAAGAAATGCCTACCTCGATCCTCTTGCTGAAAAGAGAGAGGGATGAGGAAGAGGACTTTAAGATTACAAAGGGGAAAAAAAAAGTCCAGATGAAGTGGAGAAGACCCTGGTTGCAGCCAAGACCCAATCCACACCTGCTTCACCAGCCAGAGCTGAAGAACTTTTGCCAGGTAAGGCAAGGAGTCTTCTACTAGGGCTCTGTCTTCCAGGTTTTTTAAAAAAAAAAGGTCCACCCTGAGTGGAGAGAAACTGTCATAGATAGGGCAAATGGCTCCAGTTGAGGTATATACTTTTTAGATGCACCCAGAGGAACTGGCAAAACTTTTGTTACTAAATTAGTCCTGGCAGAGGTACGGCATCGTGGGGAGATCGCTATTGCAGTCGCATCTTCCGGGATTGCTGCATCGTTGCTACTGGGAGGTAGAACCGCCCATTCGGCTTTTAGGTTGCCGCTTGATCTATGCTGGTCACAAACTCTTCTCTGCAACAAAGAATTCGCCACAGAGATGCAAACTTATAGTTTGGGATGAGTGCATGATGGCACACAAGGGCATCCTTGAAGCACTTGACCGAAATCTCCAAGACATCCGCAACTCCTGACCCCTTGCAGGTGACTTTAGGCAGACTACCTGTTATTCCTAAAGGTACACGCGCTAACGCTGTCCGCACCTGCCTGAAGTCGTCTGCCCTTTGGTGCCACATGGAGACTCTTAAACTGAGCACGAACATGCATGCCTACTTGAATGGGGACTCCAGATCCGCTGACTTCGTACGGGACCTTCTTGCTCTTGGGGATGGGAAAAAGCCATCTGACACACAGGGTTTTCGATCAGCTTGCTACAACTGTTGAATCACCAGATGAATTGATGAATGCAGTCCTCTACAACCAATCCACTAATTTTGCCAATGCCGATTGGCTTGCTGGGAGGGCTATATTGGCACCAAAGAACTGTACAGTTGATTCCATCAACCTGAAACTGTTGGATTGCATTCCCGGGCAATGTCATGTTTATAAGTCCATCGACAGAACTTCCGATCCATTTGAATTAGCTGAGTATCCCATAGAAGTTTTGAACTCCTTTCAGCCATCCGGACTCCCACCTCATATTCTTCAGCTCCAAGTTGGTGCTCCAATTATGCTAATCAGGAATTTGCTCCCACCTAAACAGTGCAAATTAAATTAAATCCTTGCTCTATTGCTTTGTTTGTAGTCATGTTAAAAAAAAAAAAAACAAAAAAAACACACGGCATGTACAGCAACCCCGGTCGGTTTTCATAAGCTCTCAGCCGTGATGTTGACTGCGACAGCATACAGGTCCAAAGCCCGAAGAAAAAAACCCCGATACAAGTAATCAACTAACTAAAAAGTGCTCAACATTGTAGAAATATGAGAATAAAGACATCTTCGATGCTAATAATTTATGAGCAAGCTCTAGTTAAAAGTGGCCACAAAGATAAGTTAGATAAATATGAGATGGAGAGCGTACTTTTGCCTAAACAACAACAATAAAACCAGTGAAAACTATGGATTTAAAATGTTCTAAATATGTATAAAAATTCTGAAACTGTATAGAAAAAATTAGCTTAAAAAAAAAAAAAAAAAAAAAAAAAAAAAAAGAAAAAGGAACCTAAAGATTTATTAAATTCAAAAACAGATTCTAAACAAATGCAGACATAGAAGATCTTGGTTATTGGATTAGGCCCCATCTCCCCTGATTATATAGTTGTTTAACCGTTTTTGCCTGTGTTTGTCTCTAAATCACCCCCCTCCCTTTTAAGCAGTTTTGAATAAATTTCTTCTCCACCCTCCCCATTGTTGTAGTTGTTGTTTTCTTTTTTTTTTTTTAATGTTTGGTCACGTGGTCTTGGTCTTTTGTTTGTCGCCTATAAGTATAGGGTTTCCTTTACCTCTTCAGTCAGCTTTCCCTGATGATCTGCTTAGGTGAAAGCTTGGTAGGTTTGTCTAGATTATATATATATATATATATATATATATATAAATAAATAAAAGGAAGCTGGCATATTTGCTAGAAAATTTAACATGGACAATAAAATTGGAAAATTCAATATTAAAAGAATTCTTTATTACGTTAAAAGACTATAAGCATAATTTTATAGCAAACCCAAATGTAGGCTAATTGTTATGGGAACTTACCTATAACGATAATGGATTCTTCCTGACACTATAAATACTGCGCCTCTCAAGAGGTATAATGAATGAATGGTGTAATGGGTTGAGACAATATTAGTTCACTCTAAACCAGAGTCATTACTAACACCTTCAACTTGTACTATATTTCTGTTGTAATATATCTTTGTTATTCTACTTTTGTGTACATGTTCTTCCTTGGTTCTAACCTTGTGGTGCGATGATATTGGACCATAACACTAAGCAACCCCACTAAAACACAAATGGAGAGAATTAGCACAATTTTACAGGAAATTTGCAACACCCTAAGGATAGCATTAAATATTAACCAATGGCACAGTACTAATGACTGCATGAAATTGTTTAACAACTATGAAAAAACACTAAAAAAAAAAAAACAAAAACAAAAAAAAAAAAAAAAAAAACAAACAAAAACAAAGGGAAATTGTCAAGGAAGCATTAAAACTAAGTAAAGAGCATATGTCCATATCTAATGATAAAATAGACATTATTATGCATTGCCACAAATCATTATTGCATCACAACAATATGTTAAGAATTAAGAAAGGAGATCGTGGTAAATTTGACAACCCTATGGGGGCATACGATAGAGCTGAACTATGTGAATTAGTAGGAAGCATTTTTCTTAAAAAACTTAAGATTGTTGACCCATATAACAATGGTCTATATAGAGATGATGGCTTGATTATAGTGGATAAATGTACCCCAGAAAAGGTGACTTAATCTTGAAAAAGCTGCACCAGATGTTCAGCAGATTCAGATTTAAGTTAGACATAGAAACTAACCTAAAAGTAATAAACTATTTAGATATTACCTTATATTTATGGAATGGTACTATTTCTACTTTTAGAAAAAATAATCAGCAACGTATTTACATCAACACAGGTTCTAACCACCTGAAGCACGATTTAGAGCAAAAACTGAATGGTATTACTCTTAAACTATCTACCAATTCTTTGAGCGTTAGTATTTTAATCAGCATAAAGAAAGTATGAAAAAGCCTTGGAAATTAGTGGGCACAAAACCAAATTGACATTCCTCCTAGTAAGCAAAATAAAAGAATAGGGCTAGAAATACTTTATGGTTTAATCCTCCATATAATCTAGCCATTAAAATCCAAAATAGGCAAAATATTTTGGAAATTTAAAAAAGTCCCCCCCCCCGTCCAACATATTGAACAAAATTTTTAGTAGGAATTATGTTAAACTAAGCTACAGCTGTATGCTGAATATGGCTAGTTTAATAAATACATTTAATAGGAAAAAATCATTGCCAAATCAGATTTTAACCCCACTAAATATAAGAATAAAGACATCTGCCCACTCAAGGGCAAGTGTCAAACAGAATGTGTCATCTATAAAGTTGAAATTAGTAGAAATAACTCAATCACCAATAACAAGAAAAATAAAGTGTACATAGGATCTACTGAAAGCAATTTTAAAAAGTGCGACTATAATCACATAACCTCAAGAATAAGAAGTATAGGTATAAACACTATATTATCTAAATACATTTGAAGTATTAAACGGGAAGATAGAATTCTAAAATGGAAAAGTATAAAGCTCATTAGGATTGATTGAATATATTATATACATTCATTTCGTTCATGAGTGTTATTATGCAGCCAATGTTCGTGTTGTTTTTCAAACCAAGTCCGTCCTTTCATCCGTGTGTAAAGACGATCTACCCCCCCATATTAATTCCATTATTTATTATTTTAAATGTAGTTGCGGACTACTACATCGGTAGAATGACACAGCATTTTGATGTTACGATTAAGCCGCACATGCCTGCTAAAATACTCAAAAATTTTTCGTTTGGTGATACCATTCGAAATACATACATGTCTTCTATAGCAGATCAATTGATAAATAATCTGACCTGTGCTATGGATTTTAGTGAGCTGGTTCTCTGTTCTGGCCAGATCACACTCGTTATTCCATCTGAAGGTGTTGGAGACACTGTTCATCAGGTCCAGGTGACCCACTCTTTGTAAACGAAGAGACGCTTGGGCTTTGTAAACGAAGAGACGCTTGGGCTTTGTAAACGAAGAGACGCTTGGGCTTTGTAAACGAAGAGACGCTTGGGCTTTGTAAACGAAGAGACGCTTGGGCTTTGTAAACGAAGAGACGCTTGGGCTTTGTAAACGAAGAGACGCTTTTTGTAAACGAAGAGACGCTTGGGCTTTGTAAACGAAGAGACGTAAACGAAGAGACGCTTGGGGCTTTGTAAACGAAGAGACGCTTGGGCTTTGTAAACGAAGACGCTTGGGCTTTGTAAACGAAGAGACGCTTGGGCTTTGTAAACGAAGAGACGCTTGGGCTTTGTAAACGAAGAGACGCTTGGGCTTTGTAAACGAAGAGACGCTTGGGTTGTAAACGAAGAGACGCTTTTTGTAAACGAAGAGACGCTTGGGCTTTGTAAACGAAGAGACGCTTTGGAAGAGACGCTTGTTTGTAAACGAAGAGACGCTTGGGCTTTGTAAACGAGACGCTTGGGCTTTTGTAAACGAAGAGACGCTTGGGCTTTGTAAACGAAGAGACGCTTGGGCTTTGTAAACGAAGAGACGCTTTGTAAACGAAGAGACGCTTTTTGTAAACGAAGAGACGCTTGGGCTTTGTAAACGAAGAGACGCTTGGCTTTGTAAACGAAGAGACGCTTGGGCTTTGTAAACGAAGAGACGCTTGGGCTTTGTAAACGAAGAGACGCTTGGGCTTTGTAAACGAAGAGACTTTTGTAAACGAAGAGACGCTTGGGCTTTGTAAACGAAGAGACGCTTTTGTAAACGAAGAGACGCTTGGGCTTTGTAAACGAAGAGACGCTTGGGCTTTGTAAACGAAGAGACGCTTGGGCTTTGTAAACGAAGAGACGCTTGGGCTTTGTAAACGAAGAGACGCTTGGGCTTTGTTTTGGGCTTTGTAAACGAAGAGACGCTCTTTGTAAACGAAGAGACGCTCTTTGTAAACGAAGAGACGCTTGGGCTTTGTAAACGAAGAGACGCTTTTTGTAAACGAAGAGACCTTGGGCCGAAGAGACGCTTCTTTGTAAACGAAGAGACGCTTGGGCTTTATAAACGAAGAGACGCTTGGGCTTTTAAACGAAGAGACCTTGGGCTTTGAAACGAAGAGACGAAACGAAAGACCGAAGAGACGCTTGGGCTTTGTAAACGAAGAGACGCTTTGTAAACGAAGAGACGCAACGAAGAGACTTTGTTTGTGTTTAAAATCTTTGGTGTTATCCCTATCCATTCATTCTATATCTCGACAGACTTTCATAATTTGTTTCCTTTAATTCTGTCAATACAAAACCAGTTTTTGTATTTGTGTTTTAAAATTCACATGGCCTATATAAAAATTTCTTGTTTAATGTCAATACTTTTTTGTACCGTGTGTGTGTGTGTGTGTGTGTGGTCAATAGATCTCATTAGATAGTGGGAAACTTCTACAGCTGTTTACTGGATGAGGTAATTTATGTCTGCCTAAGTGGCCATGGGTCAGATATATTTCTGTATTTGTATCTCATTGGTACAAGAATGAAGTAACTGAGAATTACTACCACCATTGTCATTGTGGTCATTTTACAAGTGTTAATCCTAAAAAAAAAAAAAAAAAAAAAAAGAACTGAATTAGGTAAGATCAGTAAAATAATTTTGCAAGAAATGTGATTTCTTGGAGGTAGCTACTCAAGTAAACCAATGTAGACCTACAGAGGATTGTAAAACTTGGTTTATACAAGCATGTGATTATAAATACAATATCAATGAATTTTATCCTTCTGTATCTGAACAGGGTCTTGGCAAAAGCACTGGCATTTGCCAAAGGGTTTGTAAATATGAAAATGAAGTAAGTGAACATAATCCTTGATGAATGTCAAATACAATATTCATTTTCTTTTACCATATTTTCTTGTTATGGAAAAGTACAGATATACAGCAGTGTTTAATTGTTTGATGGGGCAGAGTGGGTTTCTATTTGTTAGCAGAAATAAATAAAAATGTGTACAACTTGATACCACTATTGAACTGTCAATCCCAATACAGGTCATGATCATTGATAAAGAGTTTAAAGAAATCTTATTTTATAACTATTCACAAAAGAACTGTTTTAATATGAAGGTGGATATGAACATAAAAGCAGTTCAATACTTTGATACTGTATTGGATCTGATGAAAGAAAATGTGTTCCCTTGCATGAAAGCCAATTGCTCTCTGGGAATAGTAGAGTCCAACCACCCTAGAACAGTAATTAAAGATATGTAGAGGTTTGGTTTACGGCATATCAACCTCAATGGGTCATTTAATGCCAACAACTTTTTTCCTGGTAATATTTTGTTTTGTCAAGACACTATTCCTGGTAATATTTTGTCTTGTCAAGACACTATTGCTGGTAATATTTTGTTTTTCGTCAAGACACTATTGCTGGTAATATTTTGTTTTTCGTCAAATTTATTTCTGGTAATAATTGTTTACAAAGTATTTCTAGTATTAAAACCTATTTTACACTTTATAATGCTTTTTACCTCAGTTTCGGGGTTAACTATTTGCCCATAGCTGGGACCCTAAGAGGGTGTTACCACCCCAGGAACACCAGCAATTAAGAGGTGGTTCCATGCGCCTCAAAACCTCCTGATCAGAGACCTTGCTGTTGGACATAGCTTATCTTACCCTGAACATGGATGTAGTTTGTCATACCCAGAACGGGACATGTAGCGGAATTGAATGTAGACTTTCCAGGAATTTTTTGAATAAAACTACTTTTGAAGAAACCAAAGTGATTATGAAAGGGCTTTACAGGAAGAAAGGCATAAAGCCAATCTGGTGTTTAAACCTGTGCTAACATCAGCAGCAGAGAGCCAAAACAGAAAAAGAAACGAGATTTGGATTAACCCCCAATTTAATGTATTGGTGTGAACAAATATCAGTAGAATCTTAAAACTGTTGACCACTTCTTGTCTTTCCATTGAAGATTTTCTTCAATATGGAAAATTCAGTAAAGTAAGTGAGCAAGTAACATGGAAAAAAATAAATGCTGGGCAAAATATTAATTCAGATGCGGGTACAATAGAAGTGAATGGCAATTCCGAGAGAGGGTGTGGTTTATAAGACTACTGTAGAGCATGAAAAGGGGCATATTTGACCCACAAAGGGAACATCCAAAATGAGATAGTATAACCAAAGATCTTCCTTCAAACTGGTAAAATAGAAAAAGCAATATGAAACTTGCTTGTTATATGTGGGAGGTGAAGGGGGGGGGAAAGAAGTAAAAAAAGCCAAATATTGAATGGGATATATTGAGAGAAGTCCAACCATGTAATATCAAGAGTGTGACATGTAAACTATGCTAAGAAAAGCTGGCATCATGAAGTACCCAGAGCCGCACAATCTGCTCAGAGATCCAAGATAATGACAGCTTGCAAGATAATTTCTATTTAGGAGTTAGGATCCCAGTCAAAAATATTTATATAATGTAAATGTTGGCAAACAAAATATTTGCTATTAACCAAATTTAACTTAGTCTGGCACAAGGCTAAAATAACATACGGTGAGAAATGAACAGTGCAGAAACAATTGGTGTGCTTGTGAAACATTTAGCCACCATTACTTGAGAACAAATATCAAAATGACTTCCATATTCAAAGTGAGAGAGAAAACATGTCACTGATGAGTTTAAAAATCTAAATAAGTTCCTTGCTATCCCTTCAAATAAAAGAATCATGTCAAAAATTCAAGGCAATTTGAAACATTTCAAAAGAAAGTTGTTAAACAACTGAACTGACCAAAAGAAATAGATAAAGCCATAGAGAAAAGCAAACATTAATTTATGTTTACTATCAACACCCAATAATACCACCTTGAAAATGTTAGCCAATACCATATACACTAGGGTATTTGTCTAATTCATCAAATTAGAATATATTTGATGAGATCAAATTCAAATGTTACAAGCTGATTCAATGATAAAAAATACATTAATAAAAAAAAAAAAAAAAAAAAAAAATAAACAAAAATACAAAACTATGCAGCCATATAAATCTTTAGCAAGTCTTTCATACCTTAATCCCTACCAGTATTTTTTTTTTTAAAGATATATTTCCTAATCAGGACAAATAAAAAGGGGGAGACATTACTCCATTACCATCAGAGATACCAAGTAAACTATTTCCAAATTGTTATTTCAAATTTCATCAAACTCTTCACCTTGGTTCTTCAGATAACAGTTGACAGGCATTATTAATCAATTGTCAGCATATCACCCATTGTAAAAAAATTAATGGATGCTCTTGGCTGGTCATCTTGTTCATTTTAGAATTTGATTTTCTGAGTACAGGATAATCAGGAAAAAAAAAAAAAAAACGAACTTCTCCTCCTCCTCCTCCTCACCCTACCATGAGGTAAGCAGTATTTTATTTTATTTTTCATCCAAACTACAAGTCTCCATCATCCTAAAAGAGCATTTCATACAACAGTCTATTTAGTGCAAAAATTAGACTTGTAAAAAGAGAGGAAGCCCAGAAGGTGGTCAGGAACTGCATAAGGTGTCAATTGATTGACCCTGCCCCAAATGTGCATGATTCTGGTGAGATTGGAACAAACAATTGCACAAGGTTAGCTGCTGATGTAACACATTGTCTGGGGGGGGGTGCATACTTGTCGATGATCGACTGTGAACCTGACAGACTGGGAATATGAAGGGAATTGCATGTGGAAATGGCAGCTGTGGTTGCAGAAGAACTGGAGAGGGTGACTCTTGAATGAGATCCAATAGTGGAGATGGTAATGGACAATGGCACAGTTTTCCACTCAACTACAAGTAATGCTTGGAAAAAACAGGAAAATAATGTACTACAGAGTAGCATACAGGGTAGGGGCAAATGGAATAGTGGAATACAGGGTAGGGGCAAATGGAATAGTGGAATACAGGGTAGGGGCAAATGGAATAGTGGAATACAGGGTAGGGGCAAATGGAATAGTGGAATACAGGGTAGGGTAGCAAATGGAATAGTGGAATACAAAAATGGAATAGTGGAATACAGGGTAGGGGCAAATGGAATAGTGGAATACAGGAAGGGGCAAATGGAATAGTGGAATACAGGGTAGGGGCAAATGGAATAGTGGAATACAGGGTAGGGGCAAATGGAATAGTGGAATACAGGGTAGGGGCAAATGGAATAGTGGAATACAGGGTAGGGGCAAATGGAATAGTGGAATACAGGGTAGGGGCAAATGGAATAGTGGAATACAGGGTAGGGGCAAATGGAATAGTGGAGCAACACACTCCTCAGACTGTGAAAACAAAAGCCAAGAGAGGAGGGAGATCACCTGTCAAAAGGTGACATTTTGGTAGGATAGAGAAAAGAGACAGTAAGTCAAAAGGTCAATTTTCATCTACAAGTGGAGGTACCCAAAAAGATATCACTGAATACCAATGAGAAAGGACCAGCCAGAATCCAAGTAGGGAAAGAGAGCTGGGTGAAGCCACCAAACACACAGTGCCCAACTCAGTGGTGGTGAGGGGTGGAAATTGCAATCATCTAACAACCTGACTCTTGAAGGCATGCTGTAGCATGGCATATTTTGAATTTAAATCATGTGGTTCTTGCAAATGACATGAATGCTGAACATGGAGATAGAAATGAAACTGTACCAATGCAAAGAGTGCAAAGTGCTGAAATAGCTTGTGGTTCAAAGAAAAATTTCTACAATCTCATCCTTTTTCCTCATAGGAAATAAAGAAAATCAACCATCCTATTTTTGGTAGAGCTTTATAGCTTCTGTCTTCCTATATATATATATATATATATAATATAAACGGCCTACCTCGCAAACGTTCTCGCATCCCTGGCCTGAAGGGTTGAGAAAGGAAAGAAACATCTAAATGGCGTCCGTGAAAATAAATCTATTTACGGTCTTGTGCAGTCAAACGCAAAGTCGCGTTAATACATGGATAATGAAAAGTAATCTTAATGGTTTTGACAAAATGGGAGCGGGTTGCTTGGTGAGATAGTGGCAGACCAACATTTCACCCGTATAGACTTGGTGTACATCGTTTTGCGTTGCAGACATTTTCAGACGGAAATAGTTGCGTCCTGGGACTATCCGTTTAAAACGACTCATTTTTAAAAAAGCTATTTCTCAATTATTAACTAATTTGACAGATTACCAACTTGAGATAATACGTTGAGTTCGAAATGGCACCCCCCATATAAAAAAAAAAACAAGTCGAGTATTTACAAAAAATCGAACCACCCT